CGATATTTCCGCCGGAAAATTTCAGCGCGGTAATATGCGATAGCAGTCACACCGAATTACGGAGTGCATTGCGTAAAAATGCTCGTCCCTGGGACACATTAGCCTTTGTTCACTTAGTTTTCTTTTTTCTTTTCTTTCGCGCGATATTTTTCATTCCGTTTTACACGGTGGTTAATGAAGATTTTAATAAAAACTTGATGGACGATAAGGCGTACATATACATATACAGTATTATATGTATGTCACAGTAACGCAGCGATGTCATTTGTCATGCCGAAAGTGTCTCTCTCCACTGTCCGTAAAATTTCCTCGATCAAAGGAACGGTGTTTCTCTCCAAACAGCAAATGCGCGTCGTGTAGCCGCACGGAGAATCTATGACGGGGAGGAGACGAAGCATAATTACAGTGCGCGCCTTGTTATCGAGCTGCCGAAGGGGGCGGTCGTCGTTGCGTCGTTCGTCGAATGTCCGTCCGAAGCGTCGACTCGAACCAGGGAGCTAATGTTGTATATACCGCTATCTCGTTAGAATGAAATGGTTCTGCCGGATAGGACCGCCGGTAACACGATAGAGAATGGTAGCACGGAGAATTAACTTTTACCTCGGTGCAGGTACTTAGCTCGCGCGGAAGAACCTGTGCGGCCAACTGTTTTTGCCATTCGGAAGAAATCTTATTGTCCCTTGTAAAACCCGGTTAATCGCTGAAACCCGGCGCTCGTTAAAAATGGCGCGGGCCACCGTTGCAATTATGTTTTCCGCGGTAATTTTCTGTTATCCAATTACGTGGCACGACACCGGGCATACATCTTTTCCAAAGAATTAAAAAATTAGGACACGCAGATTAAAAGATCACAAAATCGAAAGAAATTCTCGTTATAGATATATTGATATTTTCGTTAAATATTCTCTTATTTCATCTATTGGCGTTGAAAACAAATTGCGCAATACCGAAAATCTATGTAATATTTTATAATGATAATTATGTTCTAATTATTAATTATTCGTAACAAAGAAGATTTGTCATAATAAGGAACGAGCTTCGAACTTCAGCTGCTTGAAATCGTTTTATTGGAGCACAAATATAACGATTGCGAAGGTGCATGATGAAACATCAAAACGAAGTGGGATAGTAGTCTTGCCGACCGCGAGGACATTTCTGCAGAGCATTTCGCCAAGCAGCTTGGTAAAATGAACGCTTTAATCACTCCTCAATTATCCGTTCATGGATGAAATTTTAATTTACGACACGATAAAGTTCCAAAGAGTCGTGCCCGCGCGTGCAAAATTCGTTCGCTTTATGCGCTCTCAATTTGAAAGTTTTAGTTTGACCGTTAAGCCCTCGGAAGGACATGACGGGACGGAAGGGCGGGAGCCCGGGTGGGAAAGGGAGAGAGAGAGAGAGAGAAGGTGGAAGGAAGAGGCCTGGAACTGTGCCGGAGGAAAGTGTTGGGGCGCGGCCGGGGGAACATCGTATTAAATCGGAAGATTGGAATTCTAATTAATACTCGCGGATTATCGATAAAGGAGGCAAAGGAAATGGTGGGGCACGTGAAGGAGGGCGGATGGCGGAACGATGACTCGTTCCGTTCGTTTCATCCTTCGCGCGTCTTCGACACTCGCCTTAATGTCTTCTCTAACTCGCCTCTCCCCGAGGTATAAGGACCGCCGCGTCGGAATAGATTATATCGTAATGAAAATCTTGACGTTTGACGTTCTGCAATTGATGACTCCATTCTCCCATCGATTCATTCAATATCTGGTGCACCGATGCGTATTACGTGTCGCACGTGTTTGCTACAGATTCGAATGGTGTAGAATGGATTTTAAGTTGATTGATTGTATGCGAGAGCATTAAAGGAAATATCGGGACCGATATTCATATCTACAGAGTTACATAATTGAACTTCTAGCATGTGTGAAGTTAGCACGCCGACATTAAAATTCCATAGTTCTGATTAGAGCTCTCGCTTCCTTTTGAAGAGACGAAGAGTTCTCTATAGTTTATAACAAGAATTTTACTTAATAACAATTTTTAATTCATAAATTTTTATGAGAAGTTAGCATTCCATTTTTTAAATTTAAATTAAAAATTGTTATCAAATCGAACTCTTGTTATAAATTATAGAGAACTCTTCGTCTCAAAATAAAGCGGAAACTCTAATTAGAACAATGGAATTTTAATGTTGAAGTGCTAAATTCACATACGTGAACTTCTTTTATATGATCGATTTCATAGATATTTATTTATTTTCTATAAAAGTAGGACGTTTTTCAAAAATCTTCACACGTCGCACAGCGAAAAAAAATAGACGTGTTCTCTAAATATAAATCCACAGAATATCGTTACTTTCATCGAATCCGGTGTATGATAAGAACTTAGAAACTAGCTACGTGTACATAGAAACAGTTATAACTGAAAATAACTTTTATAATGGCGTGTTTGTTGCAGCAAACACACAGTGTAAAGTCCACTTTAAACGGTCTATAATTCATAGCCAGAATTCAAAATAGAATTCTGTTTATGATTTTGTAACGGGGAAAGCATTTGAAAAATCAGAATATATCCAAAGTTTGAAACACACGTTAATCAAACATGGCATATTAAATTACTATATAGTTCTATTTTAAATCTAGCGATATGGATGTGTAAAGTGAGTTTTATTGATACAATTAAACTGTTACCATAAAAAAAGATTTAATTTGTGTTTTTTTTAATCTTTATTTGAAGTTATATCTTATTTCAGTCACTTTTTTGTACGTTCATATAATACATACAATTTTAATACGAATTGTTTTGTGTATTTTTTCGTGCAATTTACTCTCCGCCACCACTAACGCTAGACAACGCGACGTCAAGCGCATCGTGAATTCTTTTAGCGGATGATGGAGCGGCGTGTCTGGCAACAGCTGCGATATAATTTTGCGAAACGGCTACCGAATTGTTGGAATGTATGCCGTACGTTGCATATCCTAGAGGATTAGTCACGCGCATGCGTTTTTTCGCTCGCGTTTTCCATTTTTATATTGTATATTTTGTTTCGTCGTGAATAGCGCGCTCTAAAAAAAAGGTAAATTATTACGGCGAACTGTATAAAATAAAATTGATAAAGAGTAATGATTGACAATTTGACAAACCGATTTTATTGAGGCACGTAATCGAGTACGATTATTAAAAAAAAATCTGCAACGTAATTGCTTTTGCCATTCTCTCTTGGCTATTATTACTAGTAAAATAAATAACTTTATCGTGTGCAATATGTCTTATTTATACCATTACACGACGCACGCAAGAGAGACATCTTTATTTCGCCATCTCACCCCGTCGAGGAATTAAACGCGTCGCGCACTCTCTCTCTCTTTCTCTCTCTCTCTGTCGCGAAGTCTGCGAGAAACCTGTCGGCGCGCTTTTCGCGAAATTGGAGCGGGCGTGCGCGCGCGTGGAAGATGAACCGCTTCTTCGCGTGGGGCATAATTCCCACGTAATTCACTCACAGCCGCGAGGGGAATATTTACAAATGGGATTTAAATCCGGGAGAGACGACCGCGGTGGTAGCCGCGGAATATCGTTTGCCGGTACCTAGCCGAGAGACGACAGGCAACGGCGACGTCGACGGCGGCGGCGGCGGAGGCGGAGGAGGATGGATGGAGGCCGCTTAAAGTGTAAATAGGAGGCGATTCGCGCCAGACAAAGCGTTCCCGTTTCACGATCCTCCCTTGCAACCCACCGACTCCGCTCCTCGCTCCTCTCTATTCCGCCTCCGCTTCCTCCTCCGCGGCCATAAAAGGAAAGGACACAGCCCTTCCTCCACGGTTACTACGGGCCGAGAGTCGAATCGGGAGTCGGCGGAAGTGGAATCCTGAAATATTAATGTGACACCAACCTTCGTCGTACGCCGATCCTTATCCTCGGCTTCCTTCTACTTCCCGTTGTCCGCCTTCTCCTCTCTTTTCTCCTGGACCGTACGTCCTTTCCTTAGAGACGCTTGACTTTCCCGTCCCCCTCCTTTCATGTCCGCTTGTGCGCTTACCTTGTTGAATCATACACCACTTGCGCGCCGGCCTGGCTCGATTCGGGAAAACAGGGTGTATGTGTATACACACATTTTTTATGCGCGGAGACATCTCGAGAGTATCAGTTCGCTCGATAAGAAAATGCTACGATCTTTAATGTAACACCGTCAATATTGATGCCGCATAAAAATACGTCGTTCTCAGCGTTTCTAATATTTCCTTACGACACTTTTAAAACGTTTGTTATTTTGCGCTTACAAATTTGTTGAGCAAAATATGCAAACCGGATGCCAAAGAGAGCAGATTTAATTAATATATTGCATATTTAATATATTGTAATGTATATATTGTATAAAAATTAATATCCGTATAATAAGAACAAAGTCTGTTCCCATTTAAACATATTATGATTGTGATAAATGTGTTGCAGTGTATGTCCGCGCGATTATTTCAAAAAGCTATATACGTTCAATGAAGTTATCCCATTTATTCAGATAACACGTCTGTCATTCGTTATTATTTGTAATATATGAGAAAATCCTGCGCTTTTGTCAGGCTTCATTAATAAATAGCTCAATAATTAATCTAAATGCGTTCGATATTTCCAAACGTGAATTGACCTTATGACGATTGTGTTAAAAATTTAGTTATTTATTAACCTATCAACTGATGAGGAAAATTATAACGCATTTTATACGAATGTACTTAAGCGCATGCAAGCAATTTTTGACACTGCAGTATAACAAGAAAAATTTATTTTTAATCCAACTATTACCGATTTCCGATATATTAGCGATCTCTTAAGAAGTGCGAGACGATCTTTTTTTTTACAACTATAAATCCGGAAATTTTTCACGGATTTACTCAACACAAAATCGCGTCACGTTTCACGTACCTTTATAAGCATTTTACGTTACACGTAAAATTATGTGCATTTATGTAGCGCTTATTTTACGATAATTCTAATCATTTCGACATTGCGTGTTACAGGAGGGCGAGAGGGGGTATTTGGAAGGACTCGCCTCGAGATATGCAGACCTCTTCAGGACGCATTACGGGGATGTTCTTGAGCCGCTCGAAGAGCTACGCCGGCGAGAAACAAACGCTTCCGCCCGAATGCCCAACACTCAGCTCACCACCAGTCATTCACAGCCCATTTACGTGCCCGGAAAATACTCGGTGAGCAAATCCCTCATATTCGCTTTTATTTGCCTCCCCCTACCCGGGACGGTCGATTCTCTCCTTTTATTGCTTCCGCGGGCGGCATAATGCGGTTATAGGGGTGACATATAGTAGCTTGTCTATCGCCGCGATTTCTTCTTATTACTCTATTCCCCTGACACTTCGCCAAATTGCTTTCGAAGGGACAGAACTCGCGAGAAGAACACGTCCAGTTGATTCGATACGAGCATTTGTCTCTCTTTCCGACGGACGGGGACAATTTTGTCACGAGGAAAATTGTCAGACACAGGGCGATCGCGTATATACTGAGCAATCGATGAAATACGAACGTATTCATAAGGTTAAAATTACATTTCCACGATTTTCGCGACGAAATATATAAATATATATATGAGACAGTAATTCGATAATACTTGGCAATAAGATAGTAATAGCCTAATCCTCGTGGTGAAAAACGATTATACAAATTATAATTGTGTGATTTCAGTAAATATTCTTTTTAATAAGCTGGTTATATCCTGGACAGTATCTTTATAATTAGTATGTTTATCTTTTATACACACTTGAACGATATGTTCAGCAAAAGAGAGAGTTGATACTATAGGAAATCCTGGAGCGTATCGTATATCGCTCACGTGTAGTAGAACGCATCGCGTCTCGCTCGCACACCACGCAGGCGATGCGAGCGAGCGCGAACGATACTTTGGCGACGCCGCGCAAGTAACACCGCCGAAATACACGATCTAGCGCGGACCATAACGAGATCCCTCCGATTAGCCAATCGATACTCGAAGGACGCGCGGGTCGCGATTGGGTAATGCATCAGGAGCGGGGATGCAACGCGACGAAGGTACTATATATATGACAACCCTTCGGAGGTTCTATCAATCTCAATCGTTTTCTCCTTGACCTCGGATCCGAACAGACACGCGTGCCGACTCTTTTCGATAAACCGTTGCGAGTGCGATCTTTCTTGAGACCGAGCTCTCCGAGCGCCCGAGTGCGCGAAGCTCTCCGAGACGAGTGCCGTTGTGCAAATTGTGAACGCCGTGTCGAGGCATTGAACGTTGTGTATACTCGGCGTAGTGCGAATTTTGAGACATCGACCGTGCACGAAAACGGTCCACGATTCGCGGATCGCGCTAGATCGGGCTGCGACGTTACGCCACGCGTCCGAGGTGACTTGCGACGTGGAACTGTTTCCGGCGGACGCATCCGGCAAGCGAGTTCCGGTCGAGCGTGCCGCACGGACATCACGAGGCCGAGTCCTCCGGCAAGAAGCCGAGCTTCACGCCGCCTGAGGACGAATCCTCGCAATTCGAGG